AAAACATAAGGGAAAAGCTTTTTTTTTTTTTTGAGACAGGGTCTCCCTGTGTACCTAGGGGACCTGGAATTTGTGAGCATCCTGTCCTGCCTCAGCCTCTGGAGTGCTGGGAATCACAGACCTGCACTACCACACACAAATTGATGGCAATGAATTTTTTTTATCTCATACCAAAACCTTAGGAATAAAAATAAAAATTTAAAAATGGAAATGCATCAGACTAAAAAGCTTCTGCATAATAAAGGACATAACCAACTAAATGAAAGGGAAGCCTACGGACTCGGAGAAAATATTTGCAAACAATGTGATAAGGGATTAATATTCAAAATACGTGAGAACCTCACACAACTCATTAGCAAAGAGACAAATAAACCTATATAAAACTGGGCAAAGGAAATTTATACCACAATGAGTGATCACCTCACACATGAGGATGGCTATTATTAAAATAAAATATGCTGGGTGCTGATGGCTCATGCCTTTAATCCTAGCTACTTGGGAGGCTGAGATCAGGACTGAGGTTTGAGGCCAATCCCGCCAAAAAAAGCAAGACCCTATCTCAAAAGCCACAGAAAAAAAGGGCTGAGGGTGTGACTCAAGGGGTAGAGCAACCACTAAGCCCTGAGTTCAAATCACAGTACAAACCTCCCCCCCATATAACTAGTGTTTTCAAGGATGTGCAGGAAAAGGAAACCTTGTACACAGTTGGTAGGAATACAAATTAAAGCAGCCATTGTTCCTTAAAAAAAAAAATTAACAGGACTACCACATGATACATCTATCCCACTACTGAACCACCTCATGAAGATATCTAAACACCAATGTTCATTAAAACATTATATACAATAATCAAGATACGAAAATCCATATCTATTAACAGATGAATGGATATAGATACATATACACATGAAAGCTCATACCCCCTCCCCCCAAGTGAGATCAATACAGCCATTTGCAACAAATGGAGGGCAGTATAGTGAGAATTAAGCCAGATTAAATACTAAGTGGTCTCATATGTTTAAACAGAAGGTCAGACACATAGAAACAGAATACACTTGTAGTCACCAGGGGTAGGTAGGTGGAGAAAGAAACATGGAGATTACAGTAAGCAAAAGATAAAACTTTCAGTTATGTAAGAAGTCTAGAGCTCTAATAGTATTAAATACTGAAAATTTACTGAGTAGATTCTGGGTCCTCTTGCCACTAAAAACTACGGAAGGTGATAGGTTAATTCACTTTATGGTAATAGTCATATCGCTATATTAAAACAGCCTGTTGTGACAAGATGCCCCAGCACTGACGAATGGATTAAGAAAATGTGGTATCTATACACAATGGAATTTTATGCAGCAGTGAAGAAGAACGAAATGTTATCATTCACTGGTAAATGGATGGAATTGGAGAACATCATTCTGAGTGAGGTTAGCCTGGCTCAAAAAACCAAAAATCGTATGTTCTCCCTCATATGTGGACATTAGATCAAGGGCAAACACAACAAGGGGATTGGACTTTGAGTACATGATAAAAGCGAGAGCACACAAGGGAGGGGTGAGGATAGGTAAGACACCTAAAACACTAGCTAGCATTTGTTGCCCTTAAAGCAGAGAAACTAAAGCAGATACCTTAAAGCAACTGAGGCCAATAGGAAAAGGGGAACAGGTACTAGAGGAAAGGTTAGATCAAAAAGAATTAACCTAGAAGGTAACACACACGCGCAGGAAATCAATGTGAGTCAATGCCCTGTATAGCTATCCTTATCTCAACCAGCAAAAACCCTTGTTCCTTCCTATTATTGCTTATACTCTCTCTACAACAAAATTAGAAATAAGGGCAAAATAGTTTCTGCTGGGTATTGGGGGGTGGGAGAGGGAGGGGGCGGAGTGGGTGGTAAGGGAGTGGGTGGGGGCATGGGGGAGAAATGACCCAAGCCTTGTATGCAAATATGACTAATAAAAAAAAAAAAAACCAGCCTGTTGTAAACCTTAGTTATATATGAAAAAGTTTACAACCACTTTAAGATTTCCAGTTTTTTTTTTTTTTTTTTTTTTGGTGTTACTGGGGTTTGAACTGAGGGCTTCATGCTTGCTAGGCAGGTGCTTTACTACTTGAGCCACTCCACCAGTCCAGATTTCAATTTTGTAGAAAGTTTCTACAGTGTTAACTTCCCACATGAATGTTTAACCATTAAAAAAAAAAAAAATTGGACTGAAGATGTTCCTGAAGTGGTAGAGTGCCTGCTTAGCAAGTATAAAGCCCTGAGTTCAAACTCCAGTACTGCCAAAAAAAAAAAAAAGAGAAGGAAAAAGAAAATGGGGCCATAACAAAGTGAAATACTGGCATGTAAATTCATCCAGATTTGGGGGTTGGTTAAATGCCAGTATTTGGCAATTATGTAAAAATCTAGAAAAATTGATTTCCTTTTACTTTTCTCTAAATACATGTTCATTCTTATTTAGTATACAAATGTAGAAAGTGTATGTGCATTTGTTTCTGAAACATTAAGAGACTTCAAGCGATATTCCTTATTAACTAGCCTTTTTCTTTTTTCCCCTCCATTGGATGCACACATCTACATTCTTGTGTTAGGGTTCCCCTTTTGGGAAAACAACAAAGCAACCCCACCTCCTCCCTGCCCCCAAACAAAACAAAAGAAAAAAAAAGGAGGCTAGCTAAGTAGCATTCTATTCCCAATAAGGATTTAACTAATCATTGAAATGCAGATATTCAAGTGTTTTAGCTTTTGGACACTTTAGCACCAGAAAGTACTCTATAGAAGCAGATCAGCCTCTGCCTAGGAAACCAATCGGGATCCTTCTGGAGACGGTGTTCAATTTAAACCCTGCATCTTCTGTTTAGTCTTCACCGCTGAAATTGAAATCCAGAGAGCCAAGCACAGGGCTGCCAAAGCAAAAGCTAGACAAATACACGCTCCATGATCTTGATCAATCACAGAATTCCAATGTTGATCTGGAAGACACTCCTAATGTATGAGCGATTATGTGCCCTATGTTCCCCTTGAGACTCAGACACACATTCTTGCAAAAATAAATTTAAGCTTCTGTATTAATCTATAGTAACAATTAGCTCACACGGAAGTCAAATTGAAGTCTTGCTGCTTTTGTTTTAAGGATATACTTCTTTAATATTTTGGCATTTTTAAAACCAAGATTAATAAAAAATCTGATTTACTAATTTATTGTTTTTTTTTTTTTGGGTACCTATTAGTATAACTTCCAGAGATATCTTAAATCTTAAAATCAAATGGTATTTTAACTATATCTGATTATTTAACATACTGACTCTGGTGGGGGAATACATACAAAGTTTCATAGCTTCATGCTTTCTGTCTGGCATAAGGTAATTCCAATATGATTTACTTTGCAATCATACAAATAAATTAATCTGTAATAATCACCCTTAGACAACTGATCTTCCCCATATCCATATTTACTCACTTTCTCTGAATTGTCTTCCACAGCCTGTTAATACACTAGATTCAACTGATCTTTTAAAAACAAACTTCTTACTCTACTGTTTTCCTCCAGGTGTAGTCCTTTCTTTCCTTCTCTTTGTAGCAACATTTTCTGAAAGAATACCTGCTCATTTCTACTGAATTAATCTAGCGTGTTATGCAGCTTGTTCTTTCTTAATGGCCATTTAAGTTATTAATTTGTCCCTACCAAAATAATTCAGTTATTATCCTTAATTACTTTCCTAAATATTGGGTCCAAAGTATTGCACAGTATGGACCTGTGAGTCCTCTCAAACTTCATGTTAAAACTCGAACCTCCAGGACCTCAGAATGAGACCTTATTTGAAAAAGGGATCTTTACAGAGGCTGGGTTATAATCCAGTATGACTGGTGTCCTTGTAAGAGGAAATCTGAACACAGGTAACAAAGAGAAATCAATGAAGACACAGAGACACGTGAACATGAAGGTAGGAAGACAACTACAAGCCAAGGAAAAGCCTGGAACAATCCCTTCTAGATATAGTGCACAGGAGGAATAATCTTGTTAATGCCTTGATTTTACATCTATGAGATAATGAATTTCTTTTGTAAGTCACCTTGTTTGTCACTGTTATGGTAGTCCTACGAAAACTAATAAAGCACTCATGGAAAATATCTTTCAAAATAGTTTTAACAATTTATATTTTAGTTGCAAGAGTAACTTTTCTTCCATATCTTAGCAATATTGAATAGAAGTCTTTGCAATGTCTGCTAATTTTTAAGAACATGTAAATGGTATCTTTTTAATGACACTTCTCTGATTTTGTGAAATCAGGTTTAACACATCTCTATGGTTTTATGTCCCTTTATTTTGAAATACTCACATGCATTAACATCAGATAACCACTTACACAAATGATTTCAATTTCATTTGGTACAAGGATGCAAACAAAAACCAAAAAATTAAATACATTTGGCTTTAAAGAATATGCAATTACTCATTTATTGATTATCTGTTGCAAAAAATATTCATTTTTAAAGATTATCACATCTACCATAAAGTATATTTTTAAAGCTAAAAGCTACACAACTGGAAATGACAAAATTAACAATCACATGTAATGTGTGAAAATAACTATTCATGTTCAATAATCTAACAAAAATATTAAAGATTGTTTTTGAAGTATACTTATCATTGACCATTCTGTTGCAAGGTCACTATAGGACACACAATATTCTTAAAAGGGTCTCACAAAGTATAGAAGCATCTTAATAAAACTAAAAATATGCCTTGCAAGGCATCTTAAAAATCCCTTCCTCTGGGAAGTAAGAGGAGGAAGGAGAAATTGGTCAATGGGAAAAAGGAGGGGGGACAAGAGGGCAATGGAGGTGCACATATCATCAAAGTACATTTCTTACATGTATGAAAATGTTTTAATGTGACCCATTACTTCGTATTTTTAATTAAAAAAAAATTCCTTCCTACAAACAATGATCTATGAAACATATTTTTCCCCACAATTTTGTTAATGCTTATCCTGTTGAAGGATTACTTTTGATTTTTTTCCAGTGATTCTTTCTTTGCCTTTGCATGAGTTAAGATGTGAGCTTTCAGGTTATTTGACTGAACAAACCTCCACTTGCATCCTTCAAAGGGACACACAAAACGTTTTTCCCCAGTATGGATGCGTACATGAGTGCGCAAGTTGAAGTCCAGGGAAAAGCGTTTTCCACACCCTTCAAAAGTGCACTGAAATGGCTTCTCTCCAGTATGCACTACAAAATGCCTCTTTAGTTTTGCACTCTCTACAAATGCCCTCCCACACTCTGCACACACATGCTGGCGGGGGCCATGAACGAGGAGATGCTTTCTCAGGGCAGCTCTATCCCTCAACTTTCTTGTGCATCCATTCTGAGGACAAGCTAATGCCTCTGGAGCTAGATCGTCACAGTCTTTATTAGGATCTGCTAAGTCAGTGCCAGGTATTTCCCCAGAAGGCAGCTTCTTGTCTGTCAGGTGCTCAGAATACCCATGGGGTGAATTCTCTTTAGCAAGCTCTTGTTGTGCCCCCGTTTTCATGTATGACAAAGAACATTCAAGAAAGGAGCTTGCTTCAAGAACCTGCTGAGAGAGACTTTGTTCTGATCCTTCCTTTAGGTTTTCAAAGGACTTAAAAAGTAAATCCTCATCCAGGATGGGCTCAGAAAACTCACCTCTTATTATGCACTCTATGTAACAGTCAGGGAAATCACCGTCATCAACAATTTGATGGTTAATCTCATAGTGCATACCTTCATCAGGTGGAGTGCACATTGTGTTGAGAGGTGGCTTTTGGGCCTGCTGGGCTCCCCTGGCCTTGCCTTGCTTTGGTTTAACTCTGTTGAGGGCTCTTCTGCCCAGGCCTTTCCGGCCACTTGCCTTTGCCCTTTTCTTCGTTTGCTGACTCATGTCGTCCTGAAGGCTTCTTTATCTATCAATCAAACACTCGCAGGTAGAAGTGATCCAGGTAAGTCTCCTCCAACAAACACCTGCTTTAGATATTAACTTCAAGTTAAAATATATTTCAATATTAGAGACATAGTCAGAAAATGGCTTAAGAAATGGTTTCAAACACTCCAATAACAGAATGGCTAATTTACATGTTCTCTGACAAAATCCACAAAAGAAGAAGAATATGAGTTCTGGGTCTGCCCACAAGCTATCTAACTTAACGACTGCCTAATTTACTACCCCTCACTATGGTGCTAGTTGTACTCTAGGCTATTTATCATTTGATACATCAGTAAGCAGACATTAAGAAAAAACTATACTTCACAGAGCAGACACTCATATGCATATGAAATATGTAAGCAATGCAAATTAAATGCTACAGTTTGCAAAGGTAAGTGCTACAGAGTAAGCAAAGGGATTGGCAGAAAGTAGCTTATATTCTTTTGTTTTAATTGGCATTGGGGTTTGAACTCAGGTCAACCTTTACTGGTTAATGGTGGCTGATTAACACTTGTAAAGTGCTTAGCCCAATTCATGGCACATAATAAATGCTGAATACTTATGTGAACTGGTATTATTTCATTACCTTTTCTACAAGGATATGTTGGATCCTTTTCTGTATAGAGTCAGATTTAAGCTTCAGAGCCCTCTGTCTGATCTCTGTTGAAAGTATTCAAACCAGTTGTATGGTGACAAACAATAGGTAAAGGAAATGAGGGTGGCTCTATTACAATAAGACAGGAAGAGACTGGATTTTGACCAGGGCTATAGTTTTCCTGTGTGTTCTACAAGATTCTCTGGTATTCAGAGAAAAAGACACATGAAATCCATGGCATTCCTATCTCTGTGAGTGAAAGTAAAAAAAAAAAAGGCAGGGTAATCTGGCTCTGAATTTTCCATCATTTCCTTAAAAATCTAAAACCAAGACTGTTTAAAAAGTATAGCATGAATGTGTTACTGCTGCTTTTCTAAGAACCTTTTGCTTAATGTTACAATTGTGTGAGTAAGAAAGGATCTCTTTATTTATTGTTCTGATGTCTTGGTGTAGGAGGAGAAATTAAAAGCTTTTTAAATAAGGGCAAATGTTAAAGCAGTGGGGTGAAAATTAACAGCTTGAAAATACTCATATTAAAAAACAGCATCTCAACAGAATCATGTCAACTTGCTTTTGGCAAAAAAAGATAAATGTGAAGAATAAAAACAAAACATGTCTTAACTGCTAACACAAAAGTTTAAAATTTCCTCCTAAAATGTTATATATAAAAAATGTTATAAGGCTGGGGATGTAGTTCAATGGTAGAGTGCTTGCCTACCAAACATGAGGCCTGGGTTCAATACCTAACATCATTAAAAAAAGTTGTAAGTGTTGAAATCTATTTTGCTAGTGGAGTGGCTCAAGTGGTAGAGCGTGAGGCCTTGAGTTCAAACTCCAGTGCCACCAAAAAAAAAGAAGAAAGTCTCTTTAATGGACCAGGGGGGCATGCATTGCTCAAGTGGTAGAGCACTTGCCTGGAAAGCACAAGACCCCGAGTTCAAACCTGGTACTGTTCAAAAGAAAAAAAAAAAAAAGGCCATAATACACTCTCCCTCCAATAAAGTATCAGATTATACACATCTTTCTCACTCACTAAAACAGTACCCCACCATAAGCATGCACATGAAAAAAACAGAGTTTGCTAATCCACACTTCAGATCTCTGCTTAAATATCACTTCCTCAGGGCTTCCCTTGATTCTTAGGCTCATTTAAATCCAAAACTAAATGTTTGCTAGTTTCCCATTTAACACTGATCAGAGCTCTTGGTTTGTCTTACCTGCTTATCAGCTCTATAAAAGTAAAGATCTCTTCTGTTTTCTTCACCACGTGTCCCAGCAATTATTTACCTAATGAAATGAACTGATGAATATGCATTAGTTACCATACTGATGATACGTGATTTAGAAATCCTATAAAATTAATCTAGGAAATTATTTAGAACCTCAGACACAATGCAAGGTGTTATCTAAAACGACATCTCGAAGGAGATATTTTATGAATATTTCAGTCCTTTCTTAGTTAGATTTTTAGTTGTCAGATCTTTGGGCATTATGCTTATTTTTTCACAACAAATACAATCTTGTGAGCAAAGCATATAAAAAACTGAGATGTAATATACTAACTTAGAAATCTGTTTATATGAGCATCTTCTGTTGGTGGAAATAACTACGTAAACATGGGGTGAAAACAAAAATTTCAATATTAAATACTTAACGGCATGGGATTAATCTAATTTTGTATTTTGGAAACTGGGACAGAAGTACTTCATGGGATTCGTCATCTGCACCGTCATTTGACAAATATTTAATACCCAATATTGTTTTAAGTACTGAACATAGAGCAGTGAAAACGATACAAAGTCCATGGCTATCACAGGTCTTTGTTTTTATATTGTAGGGAAGACAGACAGTTACAGTAAATAAACAAGTTTCAAATTCAGAAAAATGCTATACAAAAAAAAAACGAGTATGCGGGAGGAAGTAACTGGGGGGAGGCCATCTTGGTTAGGCCTGGAAAAACTTCCAATAAGAGCACATTAGACCTGAAAATGTTGAGTCTTCATCTCCAGGGGAATTGGTGGGAGCTGAGTATTTGGTTCAGGACGCAGGGAGAAGTACAAAGGTAAGTGTGGCGCAGAGAGGAAGCCATATTTATTACAGAACATGGTGAACCAAGAACATGGTGGCCAGAGAGGAGGAGCCATTTGCATTGCATTTGAAGACCACGGGAAACCGTTACAGGGTTGCAAACAAAAGCCACAGCTGGGCCTGGGCCAAAGAAGATTACTCTGGCTCCACTAAGAAGAATGGATACAAAGTGACAAGACTGAAAGCAGAAAAATTCATAAGGCAATTGAATCATCCAAGAAAGGAGTGCTGGCGGTTTGGGGCAGCACTGGAGTAGAGGAGAAAGAACCTTTCCAACTCTCTGGAGGACTGGATGGGGAGCTGGGAAAGGGAATCAAGAATGACCTGTTCCAGGGTTTTTTCTGGAGTCATTTGAGGAGATGCTAGTGCTACTTACAGAGGCAAGCAGAGAAGGAAACGGATAGGTTTACTGTCTTAGCAATAAACACCTTAATATAAAACAGACGTAGCTATATAATTGTGATGAAATAAAGTATTTAAATGAAATTTAACATTTTAACATGGAACTTCACGGAAATTTCAACCAGACACTCACTCTCTTGGAAATGTGTTAACTTTCTCCTTTTATCTGTTTTAAAAGTTGGTGGCCAGTGGTCCCCGGCAGCCGGAGAGCCAGGCAGTCTGAAAGCTGTAAATTTAGCTACCAAAAAGCCAGTTAAAACCTGCTCCAGGACGCTAAAACGCTTCCCATCCATGGTTTTCAAACCATTTTCACCCATATTATAAGTGGTGAATTCAATACACTTTCCCAGCCCTATACCAGTTAAGCCAGGTTCCATGAAACAAGACTTACCCATGCCGCTGCGACACGCGCTACTTTCTACTCCGCTTCCTCCCAAAGGTGAGAACAGGCGGAATCGCCAGTCGGCCGCGGAACCGCAGTAGAAGTCTACCGCGCCTCGTGCTGGGCTCGGGAGACCCAGCCTCCTTCCGATCGACGCGTTCTGATTGGCCTACACAACATTGTAACTCCGCGGGGGCGGTGGGCGGGGCTCGGCGGTGGGCGGGGCCCGCAGGAGCCTGCGCTCCTCCTCCTGCGGGAGAGGTCCTGCCGGAAGCGTCTGCCCCTAGACCTCTACGGCTACCGCTCTGACCTCCGCGTCCCAATCGGCGATTCTCGCTTGCAGTACGTACTCAGCAAGTGTCTATAACAAATGGACGTAAGTGTAAGCAAAGTTAAACTTTTGTGTACGGATGAAATAAAAACCAGTCAAGCGGAGGCACCCCTGGCATTAGAAATGCCCCGATGACTTTCCTGGCACTTCCGCCCCAACCTTTATCCCCATCCCAACCTAAGCCAACTCGAGGGTAAACTGCACTTAGTCTTAGCCGAAAGGTGGAATAAACTGCTACTGCTGTCTTTCCCTTTTAGTCATTAAAGTGACTGTGGGTATCCTTAAAAGTAACACAACTCACTTCGGGTCAATCAACGTTCACATTACACATGGTCTACTGAAATTCAGTGGTTTGTATAAATACACCCAGACCTTTAAAACAAAGCCCAAATCAATATTTACGAACCTCTTAAATTTTGACTTGGAGTTTTTCTGCAATGCACACATCGGGAGGCCATTTTCTTCTCTTTTGTTTACTTATTTTTGAATAAATTGCAACTTTGAAATTGGAAAATCAAAGGTAATTTCCAATGGGGAAAACACTTTTTTTTTTTTTTTAAGGATTGGAGTCTGCCGCTAGATCTGATGGGAACCCATCCATTTGAATTGAAGTCAGCTAAAGCTTCATCAGCTCCTTACCTTTGAACATACCATTATTAGGTGGATTTCTGAAGACAGAAATATTAAAGAAACTGCTTCCCTTTATTGCGCCTTGTTATGGCTTTTTAAAAACTGTATTCAGTGGAATAAGACAGACTTAGAAAGACATCGTTTCTCTCACACGTGGAATCTAATCTAAAAGAAGACAGTTTTAAGTCCTCCTCTTTGGAGAAGACGGTAAAGTGGGTAAATACAATCAAGAACTTAATACACGTGAGTGAAAATAGAATAATGGAATCCAGTGAAATTGCTTCAAGAAGGAGGGAAATGGTGGGGTCATCTTTTTTTATATTAAAGCATTAGCCAACTCTCATAAGATTATTAAAAACTATACTGACCTACTTTAAAAACTGGAGCATTAACCTTACCACTATAGGTAGACTCAAACTTCAGAAACTGATCTTGTAATTGTCATTGGAAAACCTTCCAGAGACTGGAAAGTAATTATTGTTTTGGAAATTTGCAAAATTTTTACCAACTAAAACTGATATAATGAGTTT